TCAAAAGTAAAATAATAATTTTTTTTTTTTTTTTAAGTTCATGTGATTTGATTATCAAAAATTTTGAAGCTTGAAACACATATTAAATAACTGCAGTGCTATTTCAGTCTCATATACGAGTTGTTCGAGCTCGAAATATGATGGAGCTTAAATAAAAAGATAATTAAGAAAAAACAATATAATGGAGCTTAAACATTTGAAATATTTCTAAATTCGAAATGGTGGTGATGGAGATCATAAACCTGTGAAGTTTTGGATTCATAATTCATCTTCAAGATCTTGGAAAGTGGACATGCTAAAATAGGCACCGAGTAGAAAATGGTGTTTTTTCTCTCACACACGCATGCAAATAATGTTATTCTCGTAAAAAGATAGATAATGATGATGTTATTATTATTATTATTTTAAATAATAGTGTAATAATCATTAAGATCGGACCAAATCAGGTGCTTAGTCAGTGTCTTAACCGGTATGATCCAAAACAAAAATAAGATTTGATTAACAACGAACCAAATCAAGTATTTGAGTTTTGGCTCGACAAACTAGTCAGTTTTGTCTAATAGATTAACTACGTGAAATTGAACATCTTTACAGTATATTTTAAATTTATTTTTATTTTTTATTATTTTTTAGATCTAGTCTAATTGATTCGGCCTGAAGTAGAACCCATATTGAACCAAGCCCAAAACCTATTTTAAACTCTCTCTAAATTATTGCTCTTTCTCCCCTTCCCCCCTCTCGCTCTCTTCGCACTTTAACAAACAGATGGAACATCCCTTTTCTATTCTACTATTTTACCTACTTTCTCTCCCTTTGTCAACATTTGCTTAAATTTATCCTCTCTGCTTTTTTTTTTTTTTGGTCCTTTCCCATTCCAGCTTGCTTTTAATTATTTTGATGACCTTCAATATACCAAGTATATATACTAACCTACTATTTAAAAGAGAACTCGAGATATCTCACTTGTTTGGGCCCGACCCGGGTGAGGTAAAAAATTGTCAACAACGTGAGAGATTCGGGCTTATGATCTGACTGAGGGAATTACCCATGTGAAAGAGAAATAACAAAATGAGATTCACAGCCAACCCTTAATAATTCTGACAAGATTTATGTGATGATGATGAGAGATTCGGACCATCTTATTCAACTTGGAATCTCCTGGCTCCCCATTTTGGGAACTAGATCAGTACGTTCGCATCTCAGATGATCGCAATCCATATCGTTATTTTTTGAAGACCCGGTTTTTATGAGTGCCACGACTCATATGACGCGAGCTCCTCCCTTAAACACCCATTATTTGTATCGACCGATCTTGGATCCAATTTTGTAGTGATCCATGATCTACACTATGATGAACATGAATATAAAAAATTAAAATATAATAAAAAATTAAAATATTTTTATTATAATTTTTTTATTATAATTTTTTTCTATCCATGGGATAGGAATCTTTAGTTGTTGATGTCGATGTTAAATATGGATGTTATGTTTGTGGTTGTGCGGGCTGGTGAGTACCCGGACTCACAAAACACTTTTTTTTTTTTTTTAACGGTGTCGTATGTATAGATGTGCCAAAACTATTGCTCAACCTTGCCACTGTTGTGTACTGTTTGGCTCCCACCTGGGATTTTTCCACGTGTCTGAAAATCCAAAAACATTAGAAAACAAATTGCGTATTCCCTGGATCTCACGAATATGCTCATCAAAGCGGAAAAACAAAGGACAATATCCATGTTGCGAGAGAGCGAATACATGGGAATGGTATTATATGACACTCCAAATAAAGGATTGACGGTGATGGAGACAGAGGGGACGATAGCAATTGGTTTTATGCGTTGTCTGTTTATCAACAAAATCCATCTACAGAGTCGATGCCGATGAAACTTGTAGGGTGGTTGGAATATCGGCCGTAAAAAAAAAAAAAAAAAAATATTCACGTGCTGATCTTAAATAAGTTAGAACAATATGAGGCGTTTTTTTTTATACTTGAAAACTACAATAAACGTTATTTTTTTTCTGACCCCTCAATCCAAATTACCCCTCAATCCAAATATAGCATCTTCGGACCATCTTTTTTTTTCTCTTCATAACTTAAAGTTACAGCATGAGGAAGCCATCCTCTGACTTTTTTTTTTTTGTAAAAAAACTTAAAGTTGTGGTTCGATGATGGTATTTTCGGACCAAAACTTAAACTTTGAAAAAAATAAAAAAAAACGGTTTGAAAATGCCATCTTCGAACCGCAACTTAAGTTTTGACAAAGAAAACAGTCCAAGTCATCTTCATACCGAGGGATAATTTTGTAAAAAAAAAAAAAGGAGCTTGATTTTATTTTCGGGAATAAAATGAGCAACTTGTACCTTTCTTACTTATTTAAGGTCCATACTAATTAACTCAAACAAAATGATGGGAAAAAGTACAGGGTAAAATAGACCGGCGTGCTGTTAATAAGCCATTCATAAAAGGATCTTTTAGAAATAAAAGCATCTACAATGTTTCAAAAAGCGCTGTGCGGCAGCCAGGTGGCCGTAGGGTCCATACCTCCTAGCACCTAGGCAGGCGCCCAAAACTTGAGCGGCACAATAGAAATAAAAATATTTTAATTTTTATGAGTTTATCCATAGCTATATATTAAATACAACATTATAATTATATAACATCTAATCCATAATCCATATTTGATATTTCCATGAATGAGGAGAATTTTGATATTTCCATGAATGAGGAGAATTTTGATAGTTTATAATCACTATTTCGAACATTAAAATCATATTTCTCGACACCCATTTTGAAGGTGCGCTCAGCTTTTGATTGTTTACCTCGGCTCTATATAAACTTTTTCAGATATGCACCTAAAATCATGCTACTCCAAATTTTTAACTCATTTTGATACTCTCCTTATCTCTCATATCTACAATTTCTTTATTTATCTTTACTTGTCATATCCAACAATTTCTAATCTCCTTTTCCTCATGCTCATGTTTTTCAACTCCTTTCTTTCTTACTTTCTTCTTCATGACCCTACGAGTTATTTCATTTTAACCTTTATTTTTATTTCAAAACTTTATTTTGTCCACAATTTCCTTTTTTCGTCTTTGAGTTATAACTTAAAACTCCATTATTTTTAAGTATTAACTAAAAATAAAATCAACATTAAAAACACTAATAAAGAAATAATTTTGTATTCTTTATTCTAGGCAGTCATGAAAGCATTACAAATATACTTGCCTAAATCTTATTGGATCACAGGAGAGTTATGGCTGAAGTTAAAAAAATAAATAAAATTTGAGTGTAATACGTAAGGCCAGGGGGAGTGATTAATGGTGAAAAAAAGAGAGGAAAATTCAACAAGGTTTACAATGTGAAGCTAATAATGTTATTTGATATTTTTTAATGATTTATCTTGATGCTAATGCAAATCATTCTACAATAAATAGCATCATGCATGATGTTATAAAACAATTTTCTTTAATTACTCTGCGATTGTGCACAAGGAAACTTAAATCAATATTATATTCTAGCTTCTTTTTTTATTTTTTGGAATGCACTTGACTTGAGCTTTATTTTTTTTCATTTTTTATAATTTTCACTTTACTTAAAGAAGGGTGAGGTTTGCTATTGAAGTAAGGTGCACCTCAAAACTATGCCGAAAATGTAATTTTCTTGTGATGATATGAAAATTGATTGTGATTTCCTATTATGGAATTTAAAGTTTCAGAAATGGTGTTGATCAAGCAAATCTATAGACACTTGAAAATCTTGAAAATAGATGATCCAGATAGTATGTTAGAAGAATAACTATTTTTAAGATTATTATTTGTTTATTTATTTTAATTTTTTCATATCTACGAATCTTTGAGATCAATATGATCGATTTGAGGGTTTTATGGCATAAGAAAAACCTTCTCAGTATATTTTTTGGGTGCACCTTACTTGCACAATATAAGAGTGAACTTTCTATAAGTTTTTTTCCTTTAAATAATGATATAAATCAAGCTCATTTAGAGTATAAGAATTTCTACCTAGTAAAATGAAAGCCTGAGCTACCGTATTTAAGCTTTTGTAATTAGATTTATTTTTTTATTATTCAAGTGTTTAGTCAAGTCTTAACACGGGGTAACTCCTAATGTGAAAATATATGCCCTCCTCTCCTAGTCACACAATCTGAATGGAAGACTAGGATTGCTTCAATAATAATGGAGGGTCATCGCTTTTGGCGATTGGCATTTTGCTTTAATAAAAATATAATGACTCATTGTGATGGTCATAGCTTTTTTTTCTCTATCAAATCAAAAGGTTCCAAACTATTGTACATTTCATTTTTTATGAGTTAGAGAGATTGCATTTAAATCTTAATTTGACCATAAAGTGAATATAAAGGATTACAAACTTTAAGACACGAGACAAGTTTCCCAATATTTATACATTTTTAGTAAAATAATGAAATTTATAATGAAATACCATTATTTTTCTTGAAATCTAAAAATCTAGATTTTTTTAAAATTATAGTAATTTTTTGAAAATCGTTTTAATGCTGACTCTTGCTAATCCAGAAGATTCTTCAATCCAGATTGTCGATCTACCGATCTGACATGATTATTAGGTGGCCGATCAGAATCACTTATCCGCTTTTTTGAACCTTGAGTTAAATTATGATGAATAGTGTAAGCCTCCCATAAGCATTTAGTTTGGGGATGGAACCCTTCAATAAGGGTTAGAAATGCATATCCCCTTCCTTGGGATGGCAACAAAATGACCACTCGAATGGAGGTTTCGGGCATAAAGAATCCACTACCCTATAAAAAATGCCCTTCATGACTCTTTTAATGAAAAAAGAAAAATAAAATGTAAAGTTTTTCACCATTTACATTTGATAATCTCCATTTATTTAATATTAAGGTTCTCCGCGAGGGAGGGAGCGAACGAATAAAATGCTCCCGCGGTACCGCGAAAAGTGTTGACTACAAAATATCGTAGATTGTCGCGTTTCCTAAACCCTATTTTACTAAACCCTAGTTTTACGATCACCAGCAGAAATCGCAAAAATGAGGTACATCTCCATGTAATTATCATTTGGTATCTTCTCTTTCCATTTCATGGCCTGGAAAAACTTAGGGCAAGATGATAAATAGTTAGCAAATTCTTTAACTCGTTATTCCCATTGAATATTAGGGCAAAATGATCACAGAGATGGCAGATTCACTCTAATTCCTGGTGCAACATGACGGAGAACTTGTGCCAAATCCGTCCATGGCTGATAGAAGACTTTACGTCTTCAACTTTCAAGGGAAACGATCAAAATGGTGAGCATAATTCATTGATGACTGAACGGCAAAATCTTTTGAGTTCGTCTACAGTTGATAAAAAAACCACTTTCAATAGTTATGGAAAAATGATAAAAAACTGTTTCCAATAGGGAGGTTCCATTTAAAATTGTTAGGGTGAAATGATAAAAAACTGCCTTCAAACTCATACACACCGGGAAAAATATTCCCATTGTTTGAAATCATTTATAAAAACATATAGCTCTCATGTAACTGTTCCAGAAACTGCTAACCCTGTGAAGAAAGTATGCCAAATCCTCATGGCTTCTCCCAAAGTTGGCTTGGAACATACCCTAGATGAAAGTGGAGTTAGGGTTTCGCCAGATTTAGTCGAGGATATTTTAAAGAGATTCGAGAATGCGGGGATGCAGGCTTACCGGTTCTTTCAGTGGGTCGATAAGCAAATAAACTATTCTCACAGTGTTAAGTCCTACCATATAATGATTGGTTCTTTAGCAAAGATAAGGCAATACCAGCTCATGTGGGATTTGGTGAATGATATGAGGAGAAAAGATATACTGAATAACGAGACATTTTGCATTATGATCAGAAAATATGCAAGGGCACATAAGGTAGATGAAGCGGTTTACACCTTCAATGTCATGGATAAATTTGGGCTGACCCCAAATTTAACGGCATTTAACAGCCTACTGAGTGCCTTTTGTAAAGCGAAGAATGTGAGGAAAGCCCAAGAGATTTTCGATGACATGAAGGATAGGTTTGAGCCCAATTCCATAACCTACAGTATACTTCTTGAGGGTTGGGGGAAAGAACCCAATTTGCCAAAAGCCAGAGAAATATTCCTGGAAATGATTGATAAAAATTGTGAGCCTGATATTGTGACTTATGGGATCATGATTGATTCACTATGTAAGGCTGGTAGGGTCGAGGAGGCCACGGGTTATATGAAGGAAATGAGAAGTAGGGGTTGTATTCCTACTTCTTATATTTACAGTATTTTGATTCATACTTATGGTGTTGAAAGGAGCATAGGTGATGCTGTGGATTCATTCTTGGAGATGGAGAAAGATGGTATCAAAGCCGACGTGGCAGCCTATAATGCTTTAATTAGTGCCTTTTGTAGAGCCAAGAAATTCAAGAATGTTTATAGAGTTTTGGAGGAAATGGATAAGAAAAGTGTTGCTCCTAATTCTAGGACCTGTAATATAATTTTGAATGGATTAATAGGTAGTGGAGAAACTGATGAGGCATTCAGGATTTTTAAAAGTATGATCAAGCATTGTGAACCTGATTCAGACACATATACCATGATGATCAAGATGTTTTGTGAGATTGATAAGTTGGAGAAGGCTATGAAGGTTTGGAAATACATGGGATTGAAGCAGTTTGTGCCCAGTATGCATACCTTTTCTGTACTCATAAATGGGTTGTGTCGAAAGGGTGAATTGAACAAGGCTTGTATACTCTTGGAAGATATGATTGAAAAGGGGATCAGGCCTCCCGACTTGACTTTTAGGAGGGTGAGGCAGCTGCTTTTAAAGGAAGGACGAAAAGACGTTCTTGAGTTTCTTGTGGAAAAAATGAATGTATTGATCAAGGAACCTTTAAATGACTGAAAGGCATCATACTATCGTCCAAAATGAGCATTATTTTAGTGGTGTATTCCTGTGTTAGTTTGCTATGATCATGGTTTGCAAACAATTTATGGCCTCCATTTGATGATGTTGAAACTTTTAGATGCTTGCTCCACCTATGTATGGTACTTCCGATCTCATATACCTTTCCTCATAAATAACTACTTTAATAGAATAATACTGGTATTTTCATCTCATATGCTTTTTTTTTGCCTATTAGAAAGATCTATTTCTATGGAATGCATTGAGTCGCTGACCTCGTTGACATGGAATTTTTGGACTACCATGATGCTGGAATTAGACATTGATCAGTATCTACTGCAGAGTAATTTATAACCAAGATGCAGGTTAGTACTTTCGGTCCTGATAAGGGATGTACATCTATCTGCGTGGGTGTTTGTTTCCTTCTCAGTGGCATGTCCATCTCCTATGTTCTTAGAAAATCTTATACGTCCACTGCAAATATTCTTCTTGCATGGTTTTAAAAAGAGGTGCTTATGTATGCGACATGTTGCTCTCAGTCTGCATTCATTTTGTGCTTATTCTTTTCTTTGTGGTTATTTATTTGGCACCTATGGTGACTGATTGATTTTTTTTTTTTGGAATAACTTATGACTGACTGATTGAATATTGTGGTGTAAATATCCAATTTCTATTGTTCTATTCATGTTGCAATATCAAATGTCCCTTTTTTGAAATCTTTGGAAGTTATTTGGGTACATGAGGGAGCTGATTTAAATTACTTTAATGATGAAGGTAGATTGGATATGTGGCATGTTCAAGCTCTTAAATTCATTTCATGTTTCTTCATGTTCAACTTAGGATCTGCTTGCAAAGCATTTCATTTACCTTCTTCCTTCTAGCAGTAAAAACTGCCTACTTCTTTGCTACTAGAGTTGAAGCAAAACTATACCAAAGTACCAAGGGTGAACAACATCCCCCCTCTTCTATTTGTGAATTAGGGGATGGAGAATCACGAAATGAGTCACACTAGTCCATGATCAAAAGCTGCCCCTCACACCCAAACCAATTCACTTACCATGGAGAAGGGAATCACCCATTGTCGCCCACATATAAGCACTCAACTAGGCTGCCATTTCTTCATTCTTTGTGCCAGCATTTTCTTAGTGAATCAGATAGAGGACTTCCCTTCTAACCTACAAAAAGGGGAAGAAGTTCAAAGATTCTCAGAAGTAGGAAAGTATACCATGCATACAACACTTGGGATAAATTGCATGGAGAGGAAAGAGAAACTGACAAATGCTTCCCTGGGTTGAGAGAAAGAAGAGCAAAAAATATTTGAACCCAGATCAAACGAATAACTCAATGCCGTTCCTGTTGATAGGGATTCAGAAATTCCTTTTCATTGACAAAGAAAGAGGCTACTTCTCTTAAAATCCCCCCACCCATGGAAGAACAAAAGAAAGAACCCATGGAGACTAAAGGATTGTCATAAGTAATCCCCGCTGAGAAACCAAAGAAGCATCCAAGACTCACCTTTATTGTTTTTTGCCTCCCGAAAGGATCCACTTTCTTCACTTTGTGAATGCCTTCTTAGAGATGGGTTGTCGACAAATCCAAGTGGCGCAACTAGGAATGAATACCCACGGAGTATGTGCTTATCATTGAAATAAAATCACGATACTGATAATTGTGTTGCTTTTGGCATACAAATTGATTGGTATGTAAATCAATTGAAAATTTCTTTTGATGAAGGGGTGGCAACGGGTCAAGTCGAAAACATTTATGGGACCCGGACCCAAAGTTATCAGACCTTGACCTGACCGGAACTGGAACCGATTGGACCCGACCCAAAATAAAATATGTATGTTTATATTATATTAAATATATACATGTATTATTTAAATATTATAACTAAAAATATATAGCTATATTTATTTATATATTATTAAAATGTTATATATTGAATATTATTCAAATAATAACACTATTCAGGTCGGGTCCACACGAACCTGGACCTAGACCTGAATAATGTTTGGGTCCAATTTTTGGACCCTTACCCGGACCCCTGTTGGGTCAGGTTGTCGGATCCCAGGTCAAGTCGGGTCCATTGCCATCCCTATTAATGATCCTAAGGGTTAAACCTCGTACTCCAATTGAATTATGGAACAATGCCATCAAATAAAAAGCAAGTAGCAGCCATTCTACCAGGGGTAACTACCAATGAAAAGCCTATATATCGTGGGGTAGTTAATGTTTTGGAGAGGTCAAACTCAAAATTTAACATCGATATGCTTAGCCCCCATTATGATCTCCTTGATTATGGCCACACTATTTGGATTTTTTCGAGGGTCCTAATTCCAAAGCGTAATACGAGCTCCATGGACTTATATGATTTGTTTTCAATTGTCGCTTGTCTAAGGCCCTCAATATCTTAGCAGGGACCAAGGAAATGTACCCGGCTGTCTTTATTTTCCTCCTCAAAAGGCCAATAAGTACTAAGAAGTTGAGAAGAAACCACTAGCAATCCCATGGAATGCTATCGTGCCCAAATCGCTGCTATCAATGCTGGGGGTGCTCAATTGTCCCATCAATCCTTCAAAACTGAGCATCTTTGAACAAGGAATTGTTTTTTGCCGGCATAGATGATATCCGTAAGTTCTGTAAATTTGCTCGGGTCCCTAAACTTATTATCAATGGAGGTTCCATATGTATGACTATGTATTCCTCACACAACCCAACGATACCTCAAAATTCTTAAAGGCCTTGGACCTGAGCCAAAGTAGAATGAAACGGCAAACCATATGTAAGCAAAAGGGGAGAACAGCAACTGTCTATTCAGAGGAGTTGGCTTAAAAAACAATGATGAAAAATTTGGATTATTGGTTGCCAAGGCAAATGTTAAAACAATCAAGGACAATCCTTTCAGTGAAAATGACATTGAGACCGCTGAAATCATGGCCCTTGAAAACTCGATATTAGAATTGAACATTGATATGTTTTGTGCCCATGATAAGCTACTCGATGAGGATCCAGCAGTCTTGATTTCCTAATAGTGTCAGCCATCAACTGAGTGCTGATATCCCATCATGTTCCTGCAATATCCAAAGAAAAGCTGGGGCAGCTACTGCCTGATGCCTATGCCTTCCCTCTCTTTCCTTTATAGCAAGAAAAGGGGCATCCTTTGAGAAAATGAGAGAACAAAGGGCTTCTTTTTTATCTAATGAATGCAGATGATATTTATGTTGCTGTTGCTTGTGTTGAGAGAGCACCTAATCCTTGTCAAATTGTACAGCTAACGCTTGTTGAAGGAGCATTGAGTAGGGAAAAGCAAGTTTATGTCCCCTAGACAGCCAAGTCCTTTCTGGCCATTGATATTCCAAACGTCCACCAAACCAATCTTGCGCACCGGTGGACCGGCTGCTTCAGACATTGGACCAGCTGTTCACCGGTCTAATGCCGAATTGATCAGTCAAAATGATGACTAAAAAATACCAAAAACTACTAAGGAACTTATAGAGAGTCTGAACCTCGGGAAATAGAAGCTTGATAATCTTTCATCTCTTTTAAGAAAACATTTTCTCCATCCTTCCAATTACATGAGCTCTCAGAATAATCATGAACCTTAGGTATCAATGCGTAATAAAATAGAGGAAATTGAAAAGTTCAATGTAACTGAGAGAAAATAATTAGATTCACAGAAGTAAACATGAAAATAGAACATTATTTCATTAATGAAAAAGGGGGTAAAAGAGAAACACAAGAAAAAATACAAGATCACAAGGCTTAGAAAATGGAGATTTCAAATGAAAGCAAACAAAAAGAATTCGATTCAGTAATTTTGAAATGAACATAATAGCATAAAATCATTTTTAAAAAAGGGAGAAAAGTCCAAGAAATAAAGAATAAAATGAAGAAAATTAAATGAAAGTCTAAGATAATGACCTATGAGAACTGGACTTTGAATTTATTTAACGTGAGCAAGTTCTTGAAAATCCACAACCACATTAGAGAAAAGTTCATTGCTCCAAAAGAAAAGCTCTGCTATGTTATCTTTTGGTTGTGCATTGGAAAAGGTTTTCTTTTAGAGACTTCACTTCAATGGTGAACTTCAATGGCTAACTATGACAAAGTCCAACATGAAAAGTTTCAGAGGTGGAGTCCATGCTCTCGGAGTTGTTTTCTTTGTCAAAATCTGCTAATGCACACAAGGTTTTTTGAAGAATTCATCACACCAAAAGAAAAGCTTTGCTGTAATCTTTTTTTGTTTTGCATCGGAAAAGGTTTTCTTTCGGAGATTTCAAATTCATGGTGAACTTCAATGTCTATGGCAAACTCCAACGTGAAAATTTCAGAGGTGGAGCATTTTGCTTTTGCAAAGCCCTTTAAAGTGAGTGCTGTGATGTTCCAAGCTCCAATTTGATGTGCAGCATAGGCTACACATCAAAGCACTCACTACTATGGCAAGTAGCGATTTGATGTTCCGCTTAGGTTACACATCCAATCGCCCTGCGGCCGGGGCAAAGCATCTATGCTCTTGGAGTTGTTTTCTTTGTCAAAATCTGCTATTGCATACCGGTTTTTTGAAGTTGTGGGACTCTGTGAGAGAGAGAGAGAGAGAGAGAGAGAGAGAGAGAGAGAGAGAGAGTAGGAGGTAGGGTAGGTAG